AAGGATATTGTGGGGGACCATGTCAAATACCCCTTTTCTCTTAAGCATGGAGAGAGAACTATTATATGTTCAGAAGCACTTAGCTCTTCTAATTTATTTCATGAGGTTCTAATGTATTGGCTCTGAAAACAAGACAACTGTGGCTCTTTCTACGGAAAGCAAACCATTTTCTTCATTTATTGTGTTATCAAAATAGAGTGTATATATAAAAAAAACTATTATGGTTTTGAAAGCAGTTGCCTTGCAGGTTTCTGTGTTAGTTTTAACCACCAGCCTACTCAAGTTACATGTATGAAGGTGACACTTCACCACATGTGCAAAACAAGACTGAGATTTAAACTGAGAAATTTTCCTTCTCTTTGGGCATCAGAAGTACTGCTATTGCTGTTTTCTTGTATATGTGTGAACTTTCAATTCACTGCTCTGCACAAGGAAGAGTGGGAGCCGAATGAGTTAATTTTCTTCCTAAATAACAGCATTATTGCAAGAAAGGAAGAGAGTCTTGTTATCTCTAGAACTGTTTGCTCTCCAGGTGCTCAGGGAGAATTTCTGTTTCTGTAGTCAGCAGATGGGGCTCGGTGCTTGAAGAACCTGGTTATAAAGATGTTGCTTTTTGCAGTGGCCTTTGGAGATAATTTTCTTAAAAGCAGTTATTTTATGCTTTTGGTATCATTTGAGGTTAAAACACCTTTTTGTACCGCAAAGATCTAGTCATCTTTTTGTGATGTTTTCCTTCACAGGGCCATGATGGCTCACCTCTCTGCAACCTGCAACCACAGCCATTTTGCCAGGCTCTTTCAGAAACAGCTTATCCAGGTAAATTACTTGTTTTTTTTTATGAAGATATATGTCAAAGCTGATTTGATCCTTCCTTGGCCTGAGAAAAGAAACTGTGTCTTGCAAGTTTCTTTGAGATTTTCCTATTGAAACTTTTTTGGGAGAGCCAAATCTTCAGGATGGGCATTTCCTTCCTTTTCCAGAAATACTTATCAGTGATAAATTAGTGATGAACTCTGTAAATCAGAGATAAGGCATACTGAGCACATTGTGAGCCGTAAGAATTAATTCTTCGTTGTTATTTTCTTTGACCTTCTAATTTTAGAACAGTTATAATTTTTAGAAATTTTAAGGATCTATTTTAACATGCATCAAATGCAGAGGTTCCCAGTTATGTTCATTAGCAACATGAGTGTACTATCTGCAAAGAGACTCTGGTTCTTCTGTGTAACAGTGCAACAGGCTCTTTTTGATATAGTATTGCTGTTGTAGTTTACAGGGGGTTTTGGCCAGTTTCAAGCATGATCTGACTTTACTGTAACTGAAAGAATGAAGAAAGAATGAAGAAAGAAAAGATGCTTCTGATTGGAGTATAGATTTTTACTGAATTCTCTAGAAATGACTGGCTTATCAGTGGGTTCACAGAATCAATGTGATTCTGTGAGTCTTGAGTAGCATCTGTGTGTTTGGGGGAGGGGGGCATTAATTTTTTAACTTTATTTAACTCTGTGGAAACTCCAGGAAAATCTGGTCTGGGAATGCATAGTGCAGTATCATGGTCCTTGGAGACTGGGCTAAAGATCCTACTGAGCGGTTCATGAAGACCATGCAAGTCATAGGTGTTCTCTCCACACATCCAGATGTAGTCTGCTAGATGTGCCTGAGTTAGATGTATAGGATTGGAATTCCATCTGTCAAGATCTCTAGGCTGTTTACAGCCAAGGTGGGTAGCATGTTTTGGCATGGGCAAGAGAGATCTGTATGTGGGCCACCTCAAAAGGCCATCCTTGGATTACTCCTGAAACAAAGTCTTGTGAGGAAGGGAGAATATGTGGGGTGAGAGATGAAGTGAAATGATGCCTTATTACAAATTTTCTACCTCGCTACTCTTTTTGTCTCCTGAAGATGTGTAAAGGTCCTATTGGAGGTGGTGGCAGCTGGGGAGACACCCCAGACCTGGATGTCCTTAATATGTTGGGTTCTGATAATCTGAGCCGTCTGAAGAGGCTGCAGGAAAGATTTGTCGTTCCCCAGAGCATCAGAGGACCTTGTCCACCCCCTTCGTTCCCAGGGTGCCAGCAGTTCTTCAGAGACTTCATCCTCAGCGCAGGAAGGTTAGCTGCCCATTGTTGCTGTTTCCTTGGTGAAGTGTGTGGACGAGTGGGGAACACCAGCATGTTGAACTTGCAGCAGCGGGAGCAGTTGTCCTGAGTGCTTGGGGCATGGTGTAACCGAGGCAGAGCATATCAGAAATGTTTTTAAGCTGCATAATACCACACTTAGTGTTCCTGGCCAGCATGCATGGTGAACATGTTAATAATCAGGTTCTGTCTGGAGCACAGAAATACCTTGTCACAGGCTATCAGCATTTTCCAGTGCCAAAGAGTACTGTGTAGCAAGGGCACTGGACCAGCCAAGTGTTTCTGGTGTGGTAGTGCATGAAGCTAAGGAGTTAGAGGATGAAGCCAGCTTCACAGTTTTGTTTAACGATTTTTTTACACTCCACAGCATGGAGGAGTCCTGATCTATGGGGGATTTGAATCTTAAGTTCAGTTACTTTACAGCTTCCTGCTTTGACAGATCCATATTATTATCCTTATGCTGGGACTTGCTAAATAGCATCTGTTCGAAAAAGTACAAAATGAGTGGAAAAGAAGGGTGTCAGACAATACTAGTCTTGTCCCTTGCTTCCTTGTCTTCAGTCTGTTACATTGGATGTCTGCTGGTGCTTGATATAACTCATGAGACAAGCGTGAAATTTTGCAGTGTGTTAGTTGAGGTTTTACTGCTGTTTTCAGCCCAGTCTGACTCATCATCATCTTTTGCTGAAGTTACCAGTTCAATCAGCACCTGATGGATAGTCTGTGCCTGAAGATACTCGAACTGGATGGCCTCACTCTGGTGGAGCATGAGCACAGTGATGGGGAAGCAGATATGGATGAACAGGTAAGCTTTTTTCTGCAAAGACATCTGTCAGGAATTTCTCTGAACTGTTCCTGTACTCAAAGAATTAGTTGCTTGATTGTGGGTTACCTTGGAGCTTCCACTGCTGTATTTGCAGGACAAGAGCTTCTTCATTTGGTTTTGCCATAACTCTGCAACTTGGTTATAGATGTCTGAGCACCTTGGCATTTACTTGATATGCTTCAGGGTGCTTTATAGGACCGTGTCATAAGAGATGATGCACAATAGTTTGGAAAGTAAGAGCCTCTTTCTAGGTTGTTAGTCAATGAAATAACTGAGTCTAGTTATTGCACTCAGTTGCAACAGCTCCTTGTTACTTTTCCATGTAGAAAGATTTTAGTTAGAATGAATTTGTAGTCATGCCTGTTCGTACCTGTTCAGATGTTTCTTCACTCATCTGTACCTATAAGAGGTGTCATAGCGTATAGTCTGTTAGAAAAGTTGTAGCCAAAGGTTCATGGAAACTTGCAGAGCAGTGATGGTATTAAAGGTGGCAACATCAGATCAGCTCTCTGCCCTCATTGACTCTGAAGTTGTTAATATAAAGATGTGGTTGAGCAGCTGCTTATTTTAGAAAGCTCTTGAATTAATATCTTCTCACTATATAAGTGAAGCAGTGCAATGTAAAATGCTTGATAAATATGTATTTTGGAAATGTACCTCTATTAAAAGCAGTCATGAAGCTATGTGGTCCTTTTACATGAAGGCAGTGTAAGTTTGGTGTGGGTAGTTGCTTTGCCAGTTTAGCGTAGCATTGCTTCAGCTTTCTTTTCTTCATTTCAGGATGAGAAGAAGCGTTTCACTGTGGTCCTGTTAAGCCTACGACTCCTCGCCAAGTTCCTGGGATTCCTTGTTTTCTTGCCATATCGCACTGTGGAGCAACCAACTAGGGACTTGCAAGACTCTGCAGTAGCGTTAAGAAACCAAGTAAGAAACCAAACTCTTCTAAGAAATTTAATGTGGCCTTTTGTTGAGAGGCAGGTTTTCTAATCCAAGGAGGGGATTATGAATAGTTATACCCCTTCAAAGTGAGCCAGTGGTTCCTGGGGTGATGTTATACTGTTCTGTGCCCCTACTGCATATTCTGGGGTTGGGAATAAAGGAAAGAAGAGTTTGTGTGAGCTAGAAAAGAGAGACCAGTGCACTGGTAGTGAGGTACTCGGTCTTCTGTTATTTCTGCTAATCTGGGGATGTCATACCAGCACTCTGACCTAGCTAAGATGACTTGTATTTATAGTGTAAAATCCAGCTACCAGGAATATGTGTGTTAGTTTCGCACCCATCTCCTAGAAGTGTGTCATACTGAATGCAAGGAGGCAGGGATTAGACCTTGACTCCACTTGTACATAGTCAGGCTTATAGCCTTATTTTGAAAGTCCCAGTGGGATCTCTGGTTGCTGTTTTAAGTGTGGTTTTTACCTCTGCTCGTGTGCAAAGAAATGTCACGTTTTATGTGTACAGAAGATGAAAACCTAGAAAGAGAAGTCATGATATAGATAAAGTTTTTCTTTAAGTATCAAAAGTTAACTTGAAGCTGCTGCATTAACTTCTCTTGTTCATTAAGACCCTGCCTGTACTGGATGTATTAAAGCTTCTGAGACAGTCCATTCAGGATCAACGTTCTATCCTGACTGTTCCTTGGATTGTGGAGTACCTTTCCCTTGTGGATCATATTGCTCCTTTCCTTGATTACTACAGGAAAGTATTTTGTCTCTTGCTGCATTTATACAGGTAAGAGCTTGGGAAAGGATAATTGTTGAAGAACTTTTCTGTGAAGCTTTGCTTGCTTAGATGAGGTGCCTGGTGTCTGAGAATGCATGCTGGCCCTAGTTTCAGATTCTTATGAAAGTACTTTTTATGTACAAACCATGAGCGCTTCTTATCTTACACAAGGCTGCAAAGGGAGCTTAACCTAAACTTAGAGATTAATATTAGATTTAAATATGTGGTTTTTAATTAAGTAAACAAAATTCTTTAAATCCCCCCTCACTCGTTCTACATCTGCAGCTGTAAATTTTAAACCTTGAATTTGAGCCTTAAAGCTACAAGGTCTCCCATGCCTGAATAATGATTTAGCTTTCTTTCCTACCTACATAAGGGAAATTTAAAGTGCATTCTAGAGAGTTACTTTACACTGACTTTTCCAGTGTAAACTTAAAATGGCATGTTATTCCGATGCATAGAGCTTGCTCTCCACTCTTTAGGGAGGAAAGTAGGGAATGTATACATGGTGACAAGTAGTATAATTAAAAAGTGAGCGGTTTGGGATATTTTTTTTTCCTTAATGAAAAATGAGCTACTGAAATCTAATACTCTTTCTTGCTGCTTTTGCTGCGTGGCAGGTTAATGGTCCTTTCTGAAGATAAGGAGATGAGTTTCCTGAACAAGCTGCTGATCCTTGCAGTTCTGGGTTGGCTTTTTCAGGTAGTCTCCTGTGTGCACACAGCTCTTCCCTGAAGAAAAAGCAGGGCACAGAACTTGATAGAAAATAGTATTGAAATTAGTTAAAACACTGCAAAGCAGTAGTTTGTTTTGTTGGGTTTCCTTTTACACTAGTGTGGGGTTTAAAGAATCCTCCGTATTCTAATGGAGAATTATTTTCCTTTAATGGAATTGTGTGAAGCAACATTTTTTTTCCAGTAGGAATTCTAATTGCTGCCGAATCACATTTTGTACTTCTATCTGCATCCTTGTAAGCAAATTGACAGCTGATTCCTGTTAGAACTGGAAGCTGTTGCCACAAAGATGAAGTGCTATCTGTAAGCCTTGAATTACTGGGGAATTTTTTGTCTGATAAAGGGATGGTGTGTGATGAACTTTTAAAATATTTTTGTGCCTTCAGTTGGAATCAAGGTAACTGTTTAGCAGGAACCTGTTGGAAAGGTGAAAGATGCTGTATGGGGAGTGTAAGAGGGTGGCTTATGTTTTATAGTGATTAAACTAAATCTTTAATTTTATGAAAAGGTTCTCCTTAGGGCAGAGAGGATCCTTAGTGCTATCTTTTTTGTGGGTGGGAGGATGTGAGAGTTTACTGTCCTCTTTATCAGAAATGGTGTAAGTTACTGACTGCTGTTTAGGGTGTAACAACTGGGGTTTCTGTTTCAGGTTCCATCAGTCCCTGAAGAGTTGTTTTTTACCACTGATGTCAGGCAGGAGGGATTGATGATGGATACTGTGACATCTTCTCAGGCTTTGGTGAGTTAGTGCAGCAGCATGTCCTCTGAATGTGTGTATGAGGATGGACCTACCGTGACCTCAGGAGTTTAAGATTTTATCAGGAACTTGGCTTCAGTGCAGCTGTGTTGAGCATATGTAGGCCAAGGGATGTGATGCCCCAGTTTGTCCAAGTACCTCAATTGCGTTGCGTCTCAGATTGTAAACTGCGTGTATTACAGCTCTGGGGCTTTTGTCGGGCAGGAGCCATCTCTCCTGCTGCAATGGCTGGCAGAATAGGTGCAAAATTATTCTGGAGGATCAGATGCTGTTTTCTTGCTCACTGATTATTGCAGTACGAGGTGAGCTGATAGAACTGTAGCTCTTCCCAGAAATAAGTAATAGTAATGGTGAACTCCACAGCAATAGTAAGATGGTACTATACGAGCAAGGTTGCTGACTTTGGAGTCAACCTGTTTTCCAGTTGCAGGATAAAGGGTAATTGAAAAATAGTACGAGCAAGCAGAAAAGGAGGTGAGTTTATGGCATGTGTAATGTTTCAGGTAACTCCCAGACGTGCAAGAGAATATGTAGTATTTCTTGAAAAATGAGCAGTATGTTTGCAAAGATATATGTGTATCTTGTTCTAATAAGAAAGTTCTGTTTTGCCCTGCCTCTTCAACTGGCAGAGATAAGATGCAGAGATTAACTGATTCTTTTTCCAAATGAGTGTGGTACGCACTGCCCTTGTGGATAGGATCTCAAGTTGCTTTTCCTCCCATGCTTCTGTCTGTGCTGTGTTAATACTGGGGATAACATTACTCCACTGTGTGGTGTTCCAGCGAGTCTGGGTGAAGACACCTGTGGAGGTGTAATGCATAGCAGATGTGCCTCATTTGTTCTTCTCCATGGATAGGTTTCTCTTTTACAAGTAGCAGCTGTGGCAACAGCTTTCAGCTGGACTTTCACAGTGCTCAGCAGCAGAGGTTGAGCTACACGAGCTAAATGTAGAGCAGTTCGTTGTGTGTTACAGGGCTGGACTGAACACTTGGGCTGCAAAGTTAATTTTACTGTGGATTTGGAATCCAGTTATTTTTATCGTTTTCGTGGAAAGGTAGTTCTGAAATCTGTCTGTGATCACGTGTATGGGATTTCTGACTTGCTGAAGACAGTTTCTTTCCTGCTGTGTCCTTTCAGCATTTCCTTTCTTTTCTTTCCAGGATTCTGTTCCCTTGGTGGATCAGCAGTTACTTTACACTTGTTGTCCCTATCTTGGTGAGGTTTTTTTTTTTATATTTGCTATATAAAGAAAATATATTAGTATATATTTATTTTTATTTGTCTTTATACTGTGAGTCCTCAGATCATCTTTCTTACCCGTCCTCACAACTTCAGGTCTCAGTTGTGTGTGAGTCAACCTTGATAAAAAGCTGTATTGCAGAAGGTCATGGAGCCGTGAATAGTATCTGGTGAAGCTGGGGGAGGGAGGCTACACAGTCAGGATAGTTAATCTACAGAGCTTGAATACAAAGGGATTGGGGAACTCATCCTTCACAAACTGGAAGTGAAGCATTATCAGGCATGAGTGTACAACTTTCCCAACCTAGGTACAGGGAGAGGTGTTTGTACTGTGAGGAATGCCTTGATCGTATTTCTGCTGCCAGGCAGAGGGGAAGAATCCTTTTGTGCCTTGGTGCTTTTTTCAGGTTGTTGTTTGAAATATCTTTTTCCTGCGGTCTGACTGCCATTGATGAAATCCCTCTCTGTAGACAATAGTCCCAGATGGTGGCATGTTGCTCTGCTTCTTGGGACTTAGCTGCTAGGAAAACTGTGTGTTAAACCTGCATCACGAAAGCTTCTAGTGGTTGAACCTGTCTTCAAGCTGTTCCCGTGGTATATTCTCCTGACCCTGTTGGAATTTTGTATGACTCTGCTTGCCTTGTTGTCCTTGTAGGCTTTACGATTCCCGTTTGCTATGCTAAAAAGTGATGTGCAGAAATGACTGCTCCTTGATCCTTCTGAGCAAGCCCTATGTGCCAGAGAGCTTTTTGGAAGCCGCCTCTTTTGTCTTTGGAGCCTTGCCTGCCCAGTTAAATGGGTGGGGTGCCCCTCTGCTTTTCTGAAATTTCAGCTTTCACAGAAGCTGAGAGAATCTGCTCTGGAAACAGGACTGGCAATGTGAAAGTCTCCCTCGAGTTTTGATTTGTTCCCTTGCTTATGAGGACAATGACTGCTTTTGCATGTCTTTCTGTACAGGCGAGCTGCGGAAACTACTTGCCTCTTTTGTGGCTGGTAGTGGAGCAAAAAATGGTGGCTTTATAAGGAAAATTACTCCCACAGCTGCAGAGTCCTTGGCACCCAAGGCTTTTGTCACACAGCAGAAACTGCAGGTAATGAAGTTGGGGAGTCACAAAGGGATGCAGGGCAGGAGAAATTGCTTGTGTGAGGGTAGGGTACAGAGTGGTATCCTAATGCCGGGGAAAGAAAAGAATGGGCCTAGGCAGCAGTGAGCACTGTGTTTTAACAGTCAGATATCCTTCTTTCTCATTCTTCTGTTATAGTTGTGTGGCTGGGAGACCATGTGGGTGTTGAAATCCGGATAACTTCAGTAAACATTCTTGCAATTGGAACAACTAGCCTGTGTTTCTCTCTGCCTCTTCTTTTAACGTAAAATGTGGCTGTGTTTCTCATACTCTGTTTTGGTTAGATTGTAGCCCCTCTTTCCACCAAAAGAACAAACTGGGTAAGAGGC